GCCTCTGTAAGAAGGATCCTTCGCTCACACAACAAACTTCAGCAGGTGTCTCTTGTGGAAACGTGGAAGTCAAGACAGATACACTGAAGATACACTGAAAAAATTCTTGGAAATACTGGGTTTAACAGCCCCATCCCAAAATAGGCCACTTACAGCTAAAGGGACAGCAAGCAAAACAGCCTGCAAACTCCTTTCAGTGTCCAAGAGACAGCACAAGCTAAATACTATTGAACCTAGATTGCATGGACTCTGTCTGAAGCCAAGGCACAGCACAGAGTGACGTCAAGAAGGGTGTGTCAGGGATCAGAATAAGCGCTACTTCCCTCTGCAGCAACTCCTAAGGCCTCTTCCTCACTGGAATCACCCACTTTTGCTCCCAGCAAAGGTTACCATAGCCACAGCAATTGTGTGAAAATGACAGTTACTTGGTTTTAAAAGAAAAATCTCCTCCCCAAGTATTTTTACATTTACATTTTGCAACTCAATTGCTTTATATAACCCCACAGAGCTATGGACATTAAGACTTCCCAAGGTAGGTCAGAGCCTCTTAATCCAGACCTACAACCCATAAAATAACCGTAATCATTACGTGCAATGCAATACAAGATGAAGAAAGCAGCTGCAGGACGCAGCTGCACCCACTGTGTGACCCAGCCCCACTCACCCTGTGCAGCTACCGCAGCTCAAGCACCATCCGTCCTGTGGCCCCAGGTGATACTGTCCCAAACAGAGAGCAGTGGGCTTTCTTCCTTCCACAGGACTGTCGCCAGTGAGGAGCCTCCAAGCACTGAGGAAGCGAGCCATCTCGTCAATGGGGAAGCCGGCCTCTTCCTTCAGGGATTAAATCCGTGCCAGATCAAGCCTGATACTTGCAGCAAGGTACTGTTGTCTGAGGCTCATAGCAGCCTTGCCTCTGGATGAGGGCAGTGCAGCCAAATGAGATGCAGTTAAAACCACTGCCCCACCCAGACTAATCTGTGCACACAAACTCCTGGTCTCACAGAAATCCTGTGTCGGGTTGGCCTTATGTTTTGGGAGGAATCAAGATTGCATTTGTTTGTGACTCTGCCATACCTGGCCGTGCTGCACACGATGGGCTGGAGCAGGGAAGATTCTGTGCAGTCAGCTCAAATTCCTTTTGATGCCTCTGACAGGAGTTTGGAATGGCAGAAGCCAGGGTCAAGTGCTGCCTTAGGATGCTCCAGTTTGTATTTATTCCTCACCGTTTATCAATTTTCTGTGGTATGATTTGGGCATTTGAGAGTCCTTGAAAATAGTGAGTGAAAACTTGGATGAGATGTCAAAGAAACCAGGGTCCTCGAGTCTGCTGTTGTCAAGGTGCTGTTGTCATGGGCGGAGACCACTGGGACACAGTCTTCTCTGCCTTGCTTCTGCAAAGCTCCCGCACAAATGTCTTTTGTTGCTGTGCCAAGGCCAGCTTCTCGGGGAGACACGGAGCAGACAGTGTCACTGCGGGACCCAAGGCTGCTGCAGTGGCCCTGGTGCTAGGTGTAACACAAAGCCCTCTGTGCCACAGCAGGAAAAGTGCACAGTTGCATCCTAACAGAAAGAGGGGGTCACCTTGAGTTTCCCTCTGCTATTTGCATTTTTGAATAGTCCCAAGCACTCACAGGTGTGCTATAATGTGATTTTATGGGTCATGACTCAATGAAACATCCCATTAAACCACTAAATAGCCTTTAAAAACATACAAGCAAAAAAATCTCTGGCATACAGCTCTCTCTGCTGAGTGAAGCTGCCTCTGTTGTTCAGAGCAGCTCCCCATCCCACCTCTGCCAGTCGAGCCAAGCAGAGATATGTGAAGTTCCTTTGATTGATTCCCATTGCATTTCTTTCTCTTCAGTCATGAAGACACAGCTTTTAGTCCTTGAGTCTAAACGTCAGCATGTTACAGATTCCTCTTGGAGCTGTAGCCAAGTAGCAGAAGACCCCCTCTTTCCAGTCCTGGAGCACTCGATTGTTCATCTGTTGAGCTTGGAAGAGACACGCTGGACATGAAATTGCGGAGAAGCTACACTTGCAGTAGCAATTGAAACAAAAACCAGTGGAAGCTGTTCACTGTCTGCTCGTTCCCCATGTTTCCCTCAATCCTCTGGAGCTCCAGGTCACCAGACATCAGCTTTGCTTTTCCAGCAATGTTTTTGCTGAAGGGTTTCTAAATGGGGTGGTGGGCTTTGCTGTAGCTGGAATTTGTATCTATTTCAGGAAGCGTCACATAGTATATCCTGCAATTTAATAGTTCCCGTGCCAGGTTAATTGTAGTGGAAGAAGTTAAATGAAACTAGGACACTGAACTTGAGTGCCCAAACCCCTGCCAATCTCAGGTTATCAAATAACAAACCCACAGGTTACAACAATGTTAAAAGCCCAGCTTACAAAAACACCAAACTCCCAGACAAAAAAAAAAAAACAAACCTAAAAACTCGACCTACAAAAATACCAAACAAACCAGCCTATAAAAAACTGCATTTCAAAATACCAGAACAACCTAGTTTCAAAAAAATAGGAAACCCAATTTCAAGGTACCAAACCAAGTCTCAGATTTAAAATACCAGAACTTTAACCTCACCCAAGTTCCAAAATACCAAAGTAATCTAGTTTCAAAATACCAGAATAAAAAGTTCAGATATAGCAAAATAACCCCACGTCAAAATACCAGAATACCAAGTTCTAAAATACAAAAATAATTCCATTTCAAAATACCAGAATATCAATTTCCAAAATATCACAATTACCCCATTTCAAAATATCAAACTGCAAAGTACAATTTTTCAGATCCCTTATATGGGCAGGATTCCCAAAACCAAAAGAATGCTTATTTTCATTTATAATGTAGATAGCCCTAATTAGAGGCCCTAATGAGACTTACATCATTCATATCATTACTATTCTTCTCCACCCTACTTAGTCGCATGTGGAGCACTACTTAGTAATCACTAAGGAATAATTATTTAAGTCAACAATAAATTATTCAATTTATCTAGCTATACTACCAAAATGTAAAATTTTATTTCTTACTAGTTTTCTGCCCTTTTGCTCAAAGCTGTGGCTGCAAAAAAGAAAATGCTGTAATTTTACTGAAGAGTTTTCTTCAATATCATGCTCTTTACTCCTTTGAATTTAAGTCAGAGAAGCCTCTGAGGGCTCTTCTACTTGGTGGGATTTGCCCCCTCCATTTTCCTGGGAATGAGAGGTGGGCACAGTCAGAGGTATATTAGCCCCAGCCTTTGCTAAGGGGCTTCATTCCCTCTCTGGGATCAGCTGGGATAAGAGCTCTTTTCTCATTTCAGTGTAGAAGCTCTTTCAGCTTATCTCAGCTTGTTTTCAGCAGATACTTTTGAGTATCTAAAGCAACAGAGGTTTGGAAAACACTGTAAAGCATTGAGCACAGGGAGTATTTAAGTTCATGATTTAGGGTTGTGTGTTCAGGGGTGTTAAGGTGCTTTTATAATTTCTGGTTTTGTTCTTGTTTGGGTTGGTTTTTTTTTTGTTTGGTTTTTTTTGTTTTGTTTTTTTTTTTTGGGTTGTTGGGTTTTGTTTTTTTTTTTAGGAGGAGTGCAACTTCCTGAAAATCCAGGTTGTGTCAAGTACAACACCTCAGAGTTTTTCAGCAGATTCATTGTGTTACAAAAGAGATCTACCCTGTGTTGAAGATGATGTTTGAGACTGAGGTTTCAGATGAGGTGAGGATTGTGACTAGGAGAAGGAGGGGGTGAACAGGGTACCCAGTTAAGAGATATTGTGAGGGGTTTTGAAGGCAGCAGGGTGGGAAATAGTGTTGATTTGAGTTCTGCATCTTTTCACAAGCATAGCAGAGGCATTCACTTGTCTTACAGCACAGAGGCTCATCCACTGCACTCACAGAAATGTCATGTAGCTTTGCCTCTCTCTAACCCAGGTGCCACTCACAACAACACCCATAGTCTTGGACTCGGGATGAAGCTAGAGACTTGAGGATCCCAGCACACTTAGGGGAGGATAAGTAGCTGACTTGATGGGATTTGGCCCTAGGAGGGAGAGCCAGGCTGTAGCCATGATATTTTCTGAAAAATCCTTTCCTTAGGATTTTTTTCTCCTGAGAAGCTGAGAGGCCTCAGGAACAAAATGTAAACAATGATTATGTGCTGCTGTGGAATGCAACAGGTGCATCTGTGATTGGTCTCATGTGGTTGTTTCTAATTAATGGCCAATCACAGTCCAGCTGGCTTGGACTCTCTGTCCGAGACACAAGGCTTTGTTATAATTCTTTTTTTTTTCTATTCTTAGCTAGCCTTCTGATGAAATCCTTTCTTCTATTCTTTTAGTTTAGTTTTAATGTAATATTTATCATAAAATAATAAATCAAGCCTTCTGAAACATGGAGTCAAATCCTCGTCTCTTCCCTCATCCTAAGACTCCTGTGAACACCGTCACACCAGGCTGTGATGGAGGAGCAGGTGAGTGGGGAATGAAGGGGGGGGGGGGGGGGGGGTCATGCTGGGTTAACCTCCCCCAGAGGGACCAAAAGCTGCCAGAAAATTCACACGGAGGGGTGGGTGTAGCACACCAAAACCCGTCAAGTTTTTCGTTTTTATAGGTATTGGCAAAGAATTGGAATTTATCTCCAAAACCATTTGGAAAGAATGATTTGGAAAGAATCTATCCATTCTATTGTATATAGGAATGTAGGAAACTCTGACTAGAGGCGCATAGTCGTTTTGAAACCAATGTTATAACGTTTTTACCTAGGAATGAACCAATCAAGTGCCCTTAAACCGTAGGAACAGCTGCTGAGGCTGAAGGGAATAAATACAAAAGGCTCTCCGGCAGCTTCGGCCTCCGTTCCCTGCCTGCCCCAAGGTGCGTCCAGCCCGGCCCGGGCAGGGGGGCGGTGCTGCCACCTTGTGGGCACAGAGCGGTACTGTGCACAGAGAGGAGCGGTGAAGCACAGTTAGGAGTGCAAAGGGGCGTGGCCGGGCTTGAGCGGCCGCCGTGCGGGGCCGTGGCTGGGAAGAACGACAGCGGCGGGGCCGGTTTCGGCGGGCGGCGGAGGCGCGGAGGGGACAGAGCTGCCATTTCAAGATGGCGAAGCGCCCGCCTACCAGGACCCTGCATGAGCCGGGTCGGCCTCCAGCCCCACTCCAGATGGCGGCCGCGGCAGGACTCCGGCAGAGGCGTCGCCGCCGCTCCCTGCCGCCGTTCGCGGGGCTCCGGTGCCGCTGACCCCGCCAACCGTTTTCTCCCGCCGGGAAAAGCAGCAGAAAATGGCGCTGAGAGCGCGGGATCGGCGTCGGGACCGGGTTGAGGCAGCCGGTAAGAGAAACGCCTGTGTGAGGAGCGGGGGATGCTTAAGGGTACCACAACAAAGATGGTGGCTCGGCCGGGAGTGGCTTCTGCCAGTACCAAAGATTGCGGAGAGGAAATCTAGGAGAAATGGCTGCTGGCATCCTGGGCTTGCCAGGCAGGTTTTGTACTTGATTGCAAGGCAGTTTTCCTGCCTCTGCAGGGGGTGAAAACTGGAAAGGGGAGAGAAAAAAAATCACTTTTCACGCCACACTCAAGATGGCGGCTCAGGGCGGCACTCACTTGCCCTTCCAATGATCGCGGCAGTGTGCGCATGCGCCCTGGGTAGGGAGAAGAGAGGGCGGTACCCCGCTCCGTCTGATCGCAAAAGTGCTTTCTCCTGGGTCTGGGCGGCATTGAGGTCACAGCGAGTTCCAAATCATCCTTGTGCCTCTCCTGTTGTGACTAAGTCGGTGTTCCCTGAGTGGCTGCAGCTCCCTGCGTGTGGAGGAAAGAAGCCTGTGCTGGAGAATGGGAGGAAGATCCCTTGCTGTGTCCTCGGTGGGCACAGAACTCTGGCCAGATGGCTTGGTGAGTATTGAAAATGTGTAAAGTGCGTATTTTGTGATTGGCTTTTCGGAAGTATTAAAATGAATATTATATGTGTTGTGTTAGAAAGTAATGCTGTATTAATTCTCTTAAGTAGTGTGTTAAATATAGTTTCAGGTTATAACAAAATGTTAAAATAGAAACTATGCTATGTAGGAGACTTTTTTTAAAGAAAGGACTTGCAGCGAGATAGCAGCCACAGGACACCTAAATCTTTCAGAGAAAAAGAATTTATTGCTCTCTTATTAGAAGAAACGAACTTCTTCCTTCCTCGAAGGTGCTGTTAGGAATCAGAGGAAGAAGTTGATGGTGACCAGACAGAATCCTGTATTTGAATGGAATTTATGCATCATGTATGAGACGTATGAATATGCAACAGGTTATTGTTTTTAAGGGTTAGTCCTTTGTTAACGGGGGGTCCTTTTTCGGGCTTATGCTGCCAGAAAAAGGTACCCGGACATCCGTAACTCTTTGTCTCTATTGTCTCGTATTGTCTTAATTTAATTTGTCCAAATTATTATTACTCTAATTGTATTACTATTTTTATAACCATTTAATTAATGTTAAACTTTTAAAATTTTTTAAAAAATTGATTGGCGTTTTTCATAGGATCAATCCTGCCTGCTTTTCACTCAATTGTTGTAATGAGCCATCAGCTTTTAGCCAGCTTCAGTTCAGTTTCTTTTTCAGGAATTTTTTGGTTGTTTTGATCCTGAACTTGCCAAACCCTTAAGTTTGCGAAATTAACCCTGAGAAGGTTTCTACAAGCCAATGCTGAGGGGATTGGGGATTGGATAGTTAGGATCTTATGGCCCTTCAAGGGTTGGGTTCACCCCCTGGGTGAACTCCAAGGGAAACTCCAAGTTAACATGGATCAAAATAGGAAACAGTTCCCTCATCAAAGTCAGCTTTCCAAACCTCTGTTCAGGATCCAAAAGAAATGGGAATGCCCTTGGCAAAAAAGGTGCTTTTGAGACAAAGCGAGCTTAAAATGCCTGTAAGCAGGAAGTCCAAGAGAAATGGCTGCTGGCATCCTGGGCTTGCCCGGCAGGCTTTGTACTTGATTGCAAGGCAGTTTTCCTGCCTCTGCACGGGGTGGCACCTGCATCCCACTGGAAAGGGGAGGGAAATAATTCCCCTCCTTCCCTGGCCCAGCCCTGGAGTGGGAGCAGCTTATTCTGGAGTTATCCTGCTCCTGCCCAGCATCCCTCTGGTACCCTCATGTGCTTCCCAAGCTCCCAGCACTGATGGATCTAAACATGGAGAACAATCCCTGTTCCTTCTCTTCTCCATCCTTGATGTTCTTGGGCCCTGCATCTCCCTGGCTATTCCCTGTCTGACTCCTCATCTCCATCCCACCTTCTCCTGGTCACATCTGAGCCTGAGATGTATTTAGCAACAAATCCATTCCTTTAAAGGAAGCCCAGTGCAAAGAGCATCCAGCTGCACGTAAGTCTTCCTGCATTTCATTTTTCTCTGTCCAGTTTTGGAGGGTTTCTCTCCGTGCTTTCCTGTGACCCAGATGTGTCCCTTCCTTTGTCCAGATCCAGTGCCAAAGGATTGAACAACTGATGAGTGGGGTCTGGGATGAGAATGGTTCTGCTAAAATTAGGGAAAGAATGCTAGAAAAAAAATGAGCTTCCTTTGAATGTCTGGAAAAAAACACTGGGAAAGGGCACTTATTAATTCGATTTGGTGCCACCTCCCCTTTTTTTATGGCTAAAACTCCATGGTGAGCAATCCAAGCCAAAAGATGAAATGCAGGAGTCTTTGATTCTGCAGTGAGCTTAACTTCCCTTTTCTCCTCTCTTTCAGGACAGGGAGAACCACTGAACTCGTCCTAGTCTTGCCAAGAGCTTTGGTGTTTGAGCTGCCAAACCCAAACTGGTCCTGATGATGGAAGACTTAAGAAATTGCTCAATCCAACTAAATGCTTTAAAAAGGGAGATGGTTTGGTTATAAAAATATTTCTGCCAGAGACTGGGAAGAGTTAAATCCCCCAATTCTGCACAACAGCACAAGGATTTTTTAATTCTTTGCCTTTTTTTTCCCTTCCTTTGATTGGGTTTGTTTGTTTCCCCTTGGAGACTGCACACACAATAGGCAGATTTTTCAATTAAGCCTTTTTTTCCCCACTTTTAGTCTTCAATGGAGCCCAGGTGCCAATTGTTTGCTGCTTGGTTTCTGCCTTCCCTTTCCTGCCTACAGCTTAACCCCTTTCTCTCCTTCCTGCTTTTTGGCCATCACTGGTCATGCAGATGATGCTGATGCAGATGGCTGATAAATAATTATCAAACAGCTTGGGAATAGTCTGTATCAGGTATTGGTGACATTAAAAAATGCAGTATATGGCCCATCAACCAATGAATTTAGCAACAGTTGGATAGTAACTAATCATCTTTCCTTTAAAGCCCTCTTCAAAGCATATTTACTTATAAAGGGAAGGCATTTAGTTTTTATTTTAAAAAATACTACAAATCACCACCAGCCAGCTTAAGTGAGCATGGAAGCCTGATAAAGACATTGTAATGTTTTTTCTTTTAAATCCCTCACAAACCCATCACGTACTGGGGAGGCAGCTCAGCCAGTTTTAGCCCACAGCTGCCATCCTGTGCTCATGGAGAGCAGCCTCTCCAGCTGTCCCAGCCTCACGAAAGCACAGAAGAGGGCTTTACACAGATCAGGGATTAAGCTAGACCCAGGTTGGGCTCAGCTCAGTCACCATGGCACTGTTAGAAGCCTTAAACCCTTTTTCTATCAGATTGATTGTGGTTGCGGTGCAGCCACTGTGTTGCTGTCAATGTGCTCCCCTGCAGCCTAGCCTGACATGGTGAGCAGGGGCTTGGGGTTCTGCCTCATGTGTTAAACATCAAACCAGAAGATAAAACAACAGATAAAACCACTGCCCTGCCATGTGCCTCACTCTGCACCACTGCTATGAGAGGAGGGTGAAAGACCCAGTCAGTTTTAGCTCTGTAAAGAAGCTGCAGAGCAGTGATGAGTGCCTGAATCACATGCCGTGCAGCCATCAGGGGAGTGAGGGCAGGGAAAAGGGCAGAGAAAGGGAAATAAAAAAACAACAGAGCCACCAAGACTGGAGGATGTGAGGATGAATCCAAAACTATGCTCTCCAAGAGCTGAAATAACACATTTCTTAAAACAAGACATTCAAACTGGAATGAGGGACTTGCACTCTTTCCAGATTTTCCCAGCACCATAACCCATTAAAAAAAAAAAAGTCATCTGTGGAAATGGGATGCTCCTTTAAGCCTTGCAGAGACTTTCTCCAGCACCACAAAGCACCCTTCCTGTTGTTCTTCCTTTAGCACTCAGGGCTGAGCCATGGAGACCTGCTTCTTTAGTGTGTGTGTGTGTGTATTTCAGGGTTTTTTTTAAACCAAGAAAAAAATTGATACCATATTTTAAAAAGAACCCCCAGAGCTTTGGGGAAAGTGGGCATAAATGTCAAACAAAACACAAAGAAAGACTGAGCTACTAAGGGATCATACTTAGAGTAGCAGTGGTGGGGTGGGAGGGAAGAAATATAGCAGACAAATTTAACACCATTTAGGAGGGTTTATACACAATGTTTTCATTGCAAGCAGTACTTAGAAGTGACAATTTAGTGATTTATCATATCCCAGCACACTCCTTCCCTGTCAAAGTGATAGGCAGAACCGGCAGAGCAGCTCTGAACACACTGTTCACTACAAGGCACCACCCACAAACCCAGAATAGCTCCACCCTTGGCCAACCCTGTCCCCTTGGGCCTTTTGAGAAGTTGGGATTTAGGAGGCAGCCTTGCAGGGGAACAGTGTTTCAAATGTCAAAGGATTTAAAAATATACAAGGCTATGAAAGCTGATGGGACCTGAAAGAATTGAAGAAGGTGTCTTAGCAGAGCATCTTTGGCCAGTGCAGCCAGATAACCCTCAGATAGCATTACTGGAGGATCTGGGAGTGAAGCCCAGCAGGAGATGCTGCAACATGAACTCCTGCCCCACACGAGAGGTTCCCAGAGACCAAAAACTCCGTGCAGAGCAGACAGGATCTGACCACGACACCTGCCTTGGGCCAAACCTGCTCTTCATTTCTCATGAGCCACACAGAAACGTGGTGTATTTATGATCACTTCTCTCACCAGACCTGATTGCAATCAGCACTGGATCCCAAAACTGAAGGAGAAGCCTTGCGTAGACAATTCCTCCTTCAAGGCTCAGCTGCAGTACCAGGCTCAAGACCTGGCATGCACATGCATTTGGCAGGGAGTAGCAAATCAAGTGTAAGACCATTTCAGGGTTTTTTTCAGCTGATTGTTTAGGAATTTACTTGGAATAAACTTCCTCCCCAAAAGGGATTTCAATTCTACACATGCACAGAGAGGAGAAAACATTAATGCAGTGTTGAGACAGCTCCATGCTGAGAGCAGTGGTTTTAAGGGTAAGGCCCTTGTGTATCTGGGAGGGTGAAACCTCTGTTTCAACCCTCTGGGATCATCACTTGGGCTTCCTGTGCTTCTCAAGCTCTCAAAGTAAAATTGACCCATCAAACTCATCTTTGTCTCAATCCTAATCCCTGCATCATCCTTCAGGTGTATTTCCTCACAATGAAATTGGAGTAGAAAATGCTTTAGGAAATGCTTTGCAGCCCCTTCTTCCCCAAAGGCCCAATCTGCTTTAATTTTTAGGAATGCTCTTCAAGCACAAGGTTTGGATGCAGCCAGTGAGACTCACATTTCAGAAGGACCATCAATGGTCTGATAAAGACACAGCACTTTAAAGCAGGCTGCTGGGACTGAGGAGGATATTTGAAACCTGTTGACATGCAGTTCTAGCAGAAGTGCAAAATGAAATGTAATGTAGTAGAACTGGAAAATGAAATGCTGTTAGACGAGGCTGCTCCCCAAATTGGCTCTGCCTGGATCCACCTGCTCTGCAGCACAGCCTTCTCCCTTTCTCCTCACTGCCCTCTGCTCAGCACCAACCCAAACCTGGGCTATTTCAATTCCTGTCAGACACAGAGCAGCTGATGGGCAGCAAATGCAGCCTTCCCAAAGTGGCTGCCCATGACCTGGCCTGCAGGGCAGAGCTCAGGGAGGGGGTGGCAGCTTCCTCAGTGGCTTTTCATGTCCTCTCTCTGCCGTGCAGACACTGGCATGCATGGCACGGCTCTGTTTTGGCAGCCAGTCCCTTGGCAGGGCTGTGTGAGCACAGGCTGAGCACAGGGTGAACTCTCTCCTCCTTGCTGTGACACCTGGGCTGGCAGGGATGACACAGTGACCTCAGCCAGCCGATGCTGCCTGTGCCATCACCTGGCACTGACGTATTTGATGAAAATCCTTTTGCTGGGATTTTTCTCCTGAGAAGCCTCAGAACAGAAATGGAACCAATAACGATCTGCTGGCTGTGGAGTGTGGGCTGGAGATGGTTTAGCAACAGGGGCATCTTGGATTAGTGTCCTGTGCATTGTTTCTACTTGATGACCAATCATGGTCCAGCTGCGTTGGGGCTGTGAGCAGTCCCAGGTTTTTATTATTCATTCCTTTCCAGCTTTCTGATGTCTCCTTGCTCTTTTAGTATAGTTCTAATATCTCATTTTCTTTTAATATAATAGAGATCATAAAATAATATTTCAGCCTTCTGAAAGGTGGAGTCAAGATTCTTGTCTCTTCCCTTGTGCTGGGGACCCTCAAACACCACCACAATCACCGGCCGAGCGGGTTTGTGCGAGCCTCTCAGTAACCCTCGGCCGGTCCCGAATCGGCAGCCCCGACACGGCCGACAGCGGGGAGACACTCTCTGTGCCCCGAGGGTACTGAGGGCACCTGGGCTGGGGGGAGACACTCTCTGTGTGTGCCCCGAGGGTACTGAGGGCACCTGGGCTGGGGGGAGACACTCTCTGTGCCCCGAGGGTACTGAGGGCACCTGGGCTGGTGGGGAGACACTCTCTGTGCCCTGAGGGTACTGAGGGCACCTGGGCTGGGGGGGAGACACTCTCTGTGCCCCGAGGGTACTGAGGGCACCTGGGCTGGGCCCCTGTGCAGCACAAGAGACACCAGAGACATCGGTAGAAGATAAAGGGCTGACTCTTAGCAGGGGTTAATCCAAGGTTTTATTAGGAGTCCCAAAGGAGCTCCTGCACCTCAGGGGGCCTCCTGCTGAGAGCCCTGGGGAGATGTGCCAAGGTTACATTTAAAGGGAGGTGGAAACCAAAAGTAGATAACATCCTACCAACCATTAAGTGACCCTAAGGGATGGATGCTGGGGGATAGACATATAGGACAGCGTATGGGGGAAGGCTTGGGGGGCTGACCCCTAGCCTCTGGCTAATCACTTGATAACTTGGACTGAAACTTCTGGATGGAGGGGATGGGAAGCTGAGTGATTGACAGAGAGCCAGGGTGGGGGTTTGGGGATGATCTCATCCCGGGAGAGGGATAACACAGGTAAAAGGAGGGGGGTACAGTTTGGGATAAACCATTTGGGAAAAATATGGGGATACAAAACAAAATTACTTCACAGTATTACAAAGTATAAAAATGCACTACGGCAGGTTTGGGCAGCACCAAATAAAATGTAATAAAATGCTTTAAAAATAGAAAAATTAAAAATAAAAATTAAATAAAATTAAAATAACAAAATTAATTTAAAATAAATGAAAAACAAAATAAAAACTGTAAAGTGCTATGAAGTGTCGTAAAAGTTCCATAAAAGGTAGTGCCGTAATGCAAGACCCTCAAACACCACCACAATCACCAGCTTGAGTGGGTCTGGGCAACACCAAATAAAATAAAAAGCTTTAAAAATAATAAAATTTAAAAATAAAATAAAATAAAATAAAAGTTTTAAAAATAGAAAAATTAAAAATAAAAATTAAAATGAAAAAAATAAAAGCTTTAAAAATAGAAAAATTAAAAATTAAATAAGAAATAAAATTTAAAAAATAAAATAAAAATCTTTAAAAATAGAAAAATTAAATATAAAAAGTAAAAAAAAAAAACTTAAAAGCTTTAAAAATAAAACAATTTGAAATAAAAATAAAAAAATTAAAAAAAAAATAAAAAGCTTTAAAAATAGAAAAATTATAAATAAAAATTAAATAAAAAATAAAATAAAAATCTTTAAAAGTAGAAAAATTAAAAATAAAAATTAAATAAAAAATTAGAAAAATAAAAGCTTTAAAAATAGAAAAATTAAAAATAAAGATTAAATAAAAAATAAAATTAAAAAATAAAATTAAAAGCTTTAAAAATAGATAAATTAAAAATAAAAATTAAATAAAAAATAAAAATAAAAAAAAAAATAAAAAACTTTAAAATACATTAAAAATTAAATAAGAAATTAAATTAGAAAAATAAAATAAAAAGCTTTAAAAATAGAAAAATTAAAAATAAAAACTAAATAAAAATAAAATTAAAAAATAAAATAAATGCTTTAAAAATAAAACAATTAAAAGTAAAAAATAAATAAATAATAAAATTAGAAAAACAAAATAAAAGCTTTAAAAATAGAAAAATTAAGAATAAAAATTAAATAAAAATAAAATTAGAAAAATAAAATAAGGAGCATTAAAAATAGAAAAATTAAAAATTAAAAAATAAATAAAAAATAAAAATATTTAAAAATAGATAAATTTTAAAAATAGTTAAATAAAAAATAAAATTAAAAAAATAAAATAAATGCTTTAAAAATAGAAAAATTAAAAATTAAAAATAAATAAAAATAAAATTAAAAAAATTAAATAATTGCTTTAAAAAAAACTATTAAAAATAAAAATTAAATAAAAAATTAGAAAAATAAAAGCTTTAAAAATAGAAAAATTATAAATAAAAATTAAATAAAAAATAAAATTAAAAAAATAAAATAAAAATAAAATAAAAACCGTAAATGTTCCATAAAAGGTAGTGCCATAAAGTCCGACGGTCGTAAAATTGCCGTAAAGCGCGACTGTCGTAAAACTGCCGTAAAGCGCGACTGTCGTAAAACTGCCGTAAAGCGCGACTGTCGTAAAAGGTGCCGTAAAGCGCGACTGTCGTAAAAGGTGCCGTAAAGCATGACTGTCGTAAAAGGTGCCGTAAAGCGCGACTGTCGTAAAAGGTGCCGTAAAGCGCGACTGTCGTAAGACTGCCGTAAAGCGCGACTGTCGTAAAAGGTGCCGTAAAGCGCGACTGTCGTAAAACTGCCGTAAAGCATGACTGTCGTAAAAGGTGCCGTAAAGCATGACTGTCGTAAAAGGTGCCGTAAAGCGCGACTGTCGTAAAACTGCCGTAAAGCGCGACTGTCGTAAAAGGTGCCGTAAAGCGCGACTGTCGTAAAAGGTGCCGTAAAGCGCGACTGTCGTAAAGCTGCCGTAAAGCGCGACTGTCGTAAAAGGTGCCGTAAAGCGCGACTGTCGTAAAAGGTGCCGGAAAGCGCGACTGTCGTAAAAGGTGCCGTAAAGCGCGACTGTCGTAAAAGGTGCCGTAAAGCGCGACTGTCGCAAAAAGGTGACGTAAAGCGCGACTGTCGTAAAACTGCCGTAAAGCGCGACTGTCGCAAAAGCTGTCGTCAAGCGCGACTGTCGCAAAAGCTGTCGTCAAGCGCGACAACCGCGCTTTACGGCACTACCTTTTATGGAACTTTAACGGTACTTTACAGCACTTTACAGATTTTATTTTGTTTTTCATTATTTTTTAATTAATTTTAGTTTTTAATTTTTTTTTTTAAATTTTTATTTTTAATTTTTCTACTTTTACAGCTTTTTAATTTTTTTAATTTTAGTTTTATCTTTAATTTTTTGTTTTAATTTTTCTATTTCTATTATTTTTTAAATTTTATTTTAATTTAATTTTTAGTTTTGATTTTTTTTATTTTTAAAGCGTTTATTTTATTTTTTATTTTTTGTTTAATTTTTATTTTTGATTTCTGTGTTTTTAAAGCTTTTTATTTTTTAAATTTTATTTTTATCTTTATTTTTTAGTTTTAATTTTTCTATTTTTAAAGCATTTAAATTTTTTTTTAATTTGGTTTTGATCTCTTTATTTTTAAAGCTTTTATTTTATTTTTTATTTTTTATTTAATTTTTATTTTTGATTTTTCTATTTGTAAAGCTTTTTATTTTATTTTTTATTTTTATTTTTTATTTAATTTTTTGTTTTAATTTTTTTATTTTTAAAGCATTTATTTTATTTTTTAAATTTTTTTAAAATTTTTCGTTTTGATTTTTTTATTTTTAAAGCATTTGTTTTATTTTTTATTTTTTATTTAATGTTTAGTTTTGGTTTTTCTATTTTTAAAGCTTTTTATTTTTTAATTTTATTTTTTATTTAATTTTTATTTTTGATTTTTCCATTTTTAAAGCTTTTTTATTATTTAATTTTTATTTTTGATTTTTCCATTTTAAAAGCATTTTTAAAAAATTTTTTATTTTTTATTTCATTTTTATTTTTAATTTTTCTATGTATAAAGCTTTTTATTTTATTTTATTTGGTGCTGTCCAGACCAACTCAATCTGGTGATTGTGGTGGTGTTTGAGGGCCTTGCAGTTACCCCGCTTAATAGGTAAGAGATGATGTTTGGAGGCCACAGTGTTACAGGTAGGGGTTAAACAGTTTTTTACGGTCTTTCAGGTGATTTTTCAGGGATTTTTAAGGATATTTTAAGGTGTTTTTTTCAGGAGTTTTTAGAAATTCTCTGGAAATGTTTAGGATACCTTTAGGGCTTTTTCAGGGCTTTTAAAATAATTTTTAGGGTGTTTTAATGACTGTCTTACCGGGGTGCCCCAGCCACCCAAGCCACCCCGTGCCGGCGCTGCGGCGCTCCAGCCTAGCCTCCCGTCAGCGCCGCCCGTGGTCACTTCCCCTCTCCTGCCGCCGCTGCTGCATGGCAGGCCGAGCTGCGCCTTCCCCACGGCACCCTCCCGCTTCAGAGCTGCTGGATGGCGTGGCTCCGCTGCCTCCTGCAACCACGGACGTCCCAGCGTTCCCTTCCACGGCCGCAGCTGCAGCCCCATTCCCGCAGCTCCACCGCCTCCTGCAACCACGGACGTCCTGGCATTTCCTTCCACGGCCGCAGCCGCAGCCCCGTTCCCGTTCCCGCAGCTCCGCCGCCTCCCACACCCCCCGGCCCGCCTGCTGCCATGATGACTGCCTGCGCAGCGGTAGTGACGGAACCCATGCATGCGCAGTTGCTGCAACCCCAGCACCAGTGATATCACTCCGCGCCGACTCATCGAACCACAGCGCTGCTTCAGGGATCAGCCGCACGCATGCGCAGTTCTATCTCCACGGCCCCGCTGCCACCCCCCACTGCTTTCGCCGCAGCTTTGGTACAGCGCGGTCCCGGTTCCGAGCCGCTGCGTGCCGCTGTCCGGCCACAGCCGGCATCCCTGTGCCCTGTCACGCCACTTCTGTCGCCACTGTGTCTATACACGGCACCACAGCAGGCGAAAAATGCAGCGCCTTGCACGTATCCTTCCTTGTCTCCTTCTGCTGGGCACCGAGAGATCCCTCCGCAGCGCAGTGCGTAACCGTGCACAACCGATACCTGATGTGCCTCCGCGCTTTCACCTTCCACACTCCTAGCACCCAGTGGGACTACTTTGTGTCACGATTCGTCTGCACAGCCACATCCATGCACACAAACCGTGCGACGAGGAGAAGGAGGAG